CAATGGCTCTGGACACCTCCTTTCCTTATACTGTTTCAGATCTCAATTTCTCTACTCAACAACCTCTACCCGTAATCGTATCTCAACCCATTTCTTGATTAAATACCTGGTTGATTCTCTAGGGTTCTCGAAAAAGGAAGCAATTTCTACGTCTTCCAAGCTAACTCCACAGAAAACCATAAAAAATCCCGATTTACTCCTCAATTTCTTGATACAAACCGGTTTTGACAAGACCCAGATTAAAAAATTGGTTTTTCGAGAACCCAGATTGCTATACCGTGATGTTTCCAGAACCCTAATACCCAAACGCCAGTGCCTTGTGGATCTCGGGTTATCCGGGTCGGACCTGGTGAGTGTAATTGCAAAAGATCCTAATTTTTTTGAGAGAAGTTTAGATACTCATTTAAGACCTACCATTGGTTGTCTCAGGAGAATTTTGGGTAGCGATGAAGATGTTGTTAAGGCTATTAAGAGAGCTGTTTGGTTGCTCTCTTTTGGTACCCATCATATTATGGAGACTAATGTTTTGTTGTTGAGAAACTATGGTTTTTCTGATTTGATGATAAAAAAATTTGTGCTTAGAAATCCTACTTCTATTACAAAAAACCCTGAGTGGTTTAAGGATTTGTTGCATAGGGTGGAGAAGGATTTCCGAGTTACGCCTGACTCCACCACTTTTCTATATGGATTTCGTGCGTTAGCCAGTCAAAAGAAGTCTACGCTGGAAAAGAAGATTGGTATTTTCAAGAGTTTTGGATGGTCTGATGATCATATAGTCGAGATGTTCAGTAAGCTACCTCATTGTGTTGCTTTCTCAGAGGTTAGAATTGAGAAAGCATTGAATCTTTTCATGAAGGAGCTCAGTTTTGAACCTTCTTACTTGGCTTCTCGTCCATCAATTTTGATCTATAGTCTGGAGAAAAGGGTGATACCTCGGATGCAAGTCTTGAAAATTTTGGACGAAAAGAAGCTTAAGAGGAGAAAGTGGGCTCTTTATCCTGTTCTGGTGTTAACAGAGTCAAAGTTCATAGACTATTTTGTGCTACCCTACAAGGATCAGATACCTGATCTGTATGAATCGCACAAAAAAACTCTGGCTCCTTAGTGCTCCAAGATATTCACTTTATATATATTTAACTTATTTTTCACTCACTTTTATTTTATTTGATATGGTGATGATATGAGTTGAGCTTAAACAAAGAAGTGAGGTTTCATATAGCCGACTCCAACTTGTTTGGGTTTGAGGTGTAGTTGTTGCGTTGGCTCGAAAATGTCCTGTTCATTTTGCATTATTTGATAATATACTTAATTGGTTGGTTCTAAAAAGTGAGAAACCAGAAAATGGGAGGTTCTACGTTATCCATTAATTACGGGTGCGGGTGACTCCTCTACCTATTGCATAGGTCCGCTTCCGGTACAAATTGTGTAAAATTCAGGGCGACTCGAAGAAATGGTCTGTGGAATGGAATTGCTGCTTTGCTTAGTAAGAGTCTTTGTGGACATGATCATTGCGAGTTTTGGCTCAACTTGGATATCTTCCCCAGAGACAGCTTTCTCATCTCAGCTTATACAGGTTTGGTTTGGACAAAAGAATGGTTCCTAGAATCAAAATTTATTCAGAACTTTGAGCTGGATTTATGAGGATAAAATTCCTATGAATTCTATACAAAAAATGTAGGATAACACCATAACTCGAGAGCATCTTTTAAACAAGGTGTATTTATTTCCCCATTCCGTATTGTTGCATTTGTTCCTTCTTTTCCCAAACTATCTGATTAGTTGTAGCGTTGTCAAAGGTGTGTTTTATTGTTGCATTTGTTCCTTCTTTTTCCAAACTATCTGATTAGTTGTAGCGTTGTCAAAGGTGCGTTTAAAACACGCTTTTGTGGGCGTATCAGTGTCGTATCAAGGTTCTAAGGTATCCTTTTCCTTGCCAATGAGTGTAATCGTGAAAAGATGACACTAAACAATTGATATTTCACTTTATCGTAATTTTTTCAATTTCTTTGTTCATATATTGGTTTTGGACTGCATATACATATTTTTAGTTTTTCTCAAGTTGTGCCTTTTTTCATTATAGCCCACACGTTATTTGTTTTGAGATTTTCAGCTCCTATAATTCTCATTTTTAATATCTTTTGGTGTTTCCATCCATCATCGACTCTAAATCAATTACGTATATGTTTCAAATATAAAATTTTGTGTAGGGAAGAGTCATGCCTCATGAATTTAGAATTTTAGATAAAGTATACTTCATTGGATAGAAAGATCAGAAGTTTCAAGAGTTTTGGATGGTCGGATAATGAAATACGCGACATATTCAGGAAACTTTGTATTGCTTTCTCAAAGGTTAGTATTAAGAAAGCATTGAATCTTTACATGAAGGAGCTCAGTTTCGAACTTGCTTACTTGGCTTCTCATCCTGCAATTTTGGCTTATAGTATGGAGAAAAGGGTGGTACCAAGGTATTCTTTCAATTTGCAACTTTAATTTTGATCAAATCACCCAAAATCTGCTATAAATGATCTCAAATTTAAAATAAAGCTTTCCAGTTTCAAATACCAACACAAATAATCCTCAATCACCAATTTAGTTTAATAATACCAAATAAAAAAAAGATCCACCTTAACCCTCAGGGGTTGGCCTGGTGGCAATTGACTTGAGCCTTGGAGTTTGCTCCCTTTCAAGGTCTCTAGTTCGAAACCCACTGGGTGCAAACAATTTCTGAGGGCCATCGGACTGGGTAAAACCTGACTTAACCGTGGTGCACTTGCGGGAAACTCCTTGCCGAGGGCCTGTGCACCCCCGGGATTAGTCGGGGCTAAGAGACTCGGACACCCGGTGCAAATAAAAAACAAAAAAAAAGATCCACCTTCTCTTTTTCAACACTTTCTAAGATCCAACAATGAAGTTTTAAATTTTTTACAGTAAATTACTAAATCGGTGTTTAAACTAAACATTTTAACATAAGTTTTCAACATTTGTGATAGGATGATGATATGAGCTGAGCTTAAAGAAAGAAGTGAGGTTTCATATAGCCGACTCCAACTTATTTGGGCTTGAGGCGTAATTATTGTGTTGGCTCAAAAATGTCCTGTTCATTTTGCATTATTTGATAATATACCTAATTGGTTAGTTCTGAAAAGTGAGAAACCAGAAAATGGGAGGTTCTATATTATCCATTAATTAAGTAGAAAAGCAAGTGAATTAATTACGGTCGGAAAAACATTATTTTACAATGGTGATATATATGCCAGGTTATATGATTGTCTCTATAATGCTTTTTCCTGGTTATCTTGCTGAAATGAGAGGAAACTAAACTACGCTATCTGATATCTTACAATGCTGCCTTATTGAGTTTGTCATGGGTTTTATAATTTATTCTACCAATATGTTATACGTTTGTAGTTCAAATTGATTTGATTGCGAAAGAACTATATTGTCTTTACAAAATAATGGTTTTCCAAGTGATCAAATTGAGAAGCACATACTCAATAAGGAGGATACAAATTGTGTAAAATTCAGGGCGACCGGAGGAAATGGTCCTGAGAGTGGAAATAGCTGAGATGAACTGCTGCTTTGCTTAGTAAGGGTTTTCATGGACATAGCTGAGATGAACTGCTGAGATGAACTGCTGCTTTGCTTAGTAAGGGTTTTCATGGACATGATCATTACGAGTTTTGGCTCAACTTGGGTATCTTCCCCAGAGACAGCTTTCTCATCTCAGCTTATAGAGGTTTAGTTTGGACAAAAGAATGGTTCCTAGAATCAAAATTTATTCAGAACTCAGAGCTGGTTTTATGAGGATAAAATTCCTGGTCTCTCTATGAATTCTATACAAAAAGTGTAGGATGACACAATAACTTGAGAGCATCTTTTAAACAAAGCGTATGTATTTCCCCAGTCAGTATTGTTGCATTTCCAGACCCTACTTGTGGGAACTCACTCGGTTTTTTATTGTTGTAGTATTATTGCATTTGTGCCTTCTTTTTCCTAACTATCTGATTATTTGTCTTGAACATCAGGCGGCATTCATGCTGTTGGCTGAATTAAGAGTACCATATTTACATGTGGAAATGATCATATTTCAACACCAGTTAGCAATGTGTTCTAGCTCTGTACAAGGCAGGTTCAAAGTTTACAATTTGCACCACGGGTCAGCTTATTTCTTTGCTAGTCGCTGCAAGCCCCCTTCTTAGCATTACTTGTCAATTTTCAGTATGTTATATTCAGTGTTTTCTCCTTCTTATAATTATTAAAAGGTAGCTCTGGCTATTTCTTTGCTTTAGATAAAGAGAATGAGAGATACCCCTTGAGTATCTTTAACCATAATGCTATCTCTTTAGCTTTCTTGATTCCAACCTAAAAGAACAGTTTCTTTAGAAATTCTTTCTCTCTGGTGCATGACAAAAGAAAGTATTACTACTATTTCTTTCTTCTATCTCATCTGAATTTTATCTTGTACCATTTTGCATGAGTCGTTAGCTGTGACACTCTACTGCCATATGGAGAAGTGTAAATAGGCAACATATGAGCTGCTTTTTTGAGATCAGTTGGACTGCATTCTGCAGTGCATTGCTGAAAGAAGGGCAAGTTCTGTACACAGTACACCAGAAACCGTAGTGAGACACGTCCAAGAATGTCTACTGTAGAGGTGCTACGAAGCCTATAGCTTGTTTAGCCAAGCTTCTAAAATCTGTTTATTTTGAAAAGTGCTTTATTCAAGAGTGGTGCGCTTGGCTAATCAATTCGAAAAGCACTTTTGAGCAGTGATTAGTGTTTGGCTAATCAATTTGAAAATCACTTTTGGACAGTAATTAGTGTTTGGTCAAGCTAATGTATTTTTCTCAAAAGTGCTTATCAAAAAAGTATTTCTGGGGAGAAATTACTTTTTTTTTTTTTCTCATAAACTGTTTTTGCTTCTACTCAAAAGCACTTTTTTTTGTTCAAAAAGCTTGGCCAAACACCTAAACTTTGAGGAGAAAAAAATGCACTTTTGTCCAAAACTAAAGCTTGGCCAAACAGGCTAGCTTGAAGCAGGGGGAGTTTAGGCGAAGTGAAATATACCGTGTCTGCAGATTTGCAGATTTGGGGCCACATGTCCAAATCATGTTTTTTTGGCTATGTACATAATAATATACTTTGATAAATGAAAATTATTTAGTTACCAAAGAAAAGTCAATTTAAAAGATAAATTGTCCTTAAAGTGGGATTAGTAACCTAAAAAAGGTGTTACTTGCTGCATCATATCATCATCATTACACTATATTGAGTGTTATAAATAGAATTTTATTTAAGGTGAATATTTATATTTAGAGAGATTTTAGGGACTATTACGTGGTGGCTAAGTCACTCTTTCCCTATAAAGAGNCATCATTGTCTCATCTTGATCCACATGTCTCTATTTGTGAAAAAGAGGTGTAAAAGATCATTCATTTACAGAGAATAGTAAATGAAATGCCAGACGCATTTACAGATCTGAAAGGATAACAAAATCACATATCCCTGCAGAGAATGTTTCAATCCGTATTGATGTTCCCGTTGGACAATCTTCTAGTGTCATAACTAATGACTCAAAAGCACGCCTAAAACGTGGCAGACCATTAGGTTGTAAGGATCGGAATCCTAGAAAAGGAAAACAAATGATCAAGATGACACTACGAAAGAGTCTCATGAAGAAATCCACGATTTAACCAATCCTGAGATTCACGAGGAAATCACTGAGCCCGAGACTCAAGAAAACAAGGAACTATCAATAAATCCAATCAATATTGAGACAAATTTTGAATCGACTAGATATAGTGGTGGATTATGTCTTTGCATATAATGTTGCATCTAGCATTATGAAAGATATTGAGGATCTTGAACCTCAATCAATTGGAGAATGTCGACAAAGGCGTGCTTAGCCAAAATGGCAAGAAACAATCCAATTTGAGTTGGATTCACTTGCGAAACGTGAAGTTTTTGGGCTTGTAGTCCAAACACCTAATGGTGTTAAGCTCGTTGGCTATAAATGGGTCTTTGTACGTAAGAGAAATGAGAAAAATGAGGTACAAAGATATAAAGCACGCCTTATTGCACAAGAATTTTTACAAAGGCCTGGTATCGATTTTGAAGAGACATATTCACCTGTTATAGATGCAATAATATTTCGTTATCTCATTAGTTTTGCTGTCCATTAAAAGCTTGACATGCATTTAATGGATGTGGTTACAGCCTACCTTTGTGGATCACTCGATAATGAGATATACATGAAAATTTTCGAGGGATTTAAAATGCCTGTCGCATATAATTCGAAGTCTCAGGAAATATTTTCAATCAAATTGCAAAGATCTTTGTATGGTCTAAAGCAATCAGTACGAGTGTGGTATAACCGTCTTAGTGAGTATTTATTAAAGGAAGGTTATATAAATGATGCCATTTGTCCATGTATTTTTATAAAGAAAACAACATCGGAATTTATTGTACTTGCCGTATATGTCAATGACATAAACTTTATTGGAACTCCTACAGAACTCCAAAAGGCAATTGACTATTTAAAGAAGAAATTCGAGATGAAAGATCTCGGAAAGACAAAATTATGTGGTTTGCAAATTGAACATTTGGCAAACGGGCTACACAGAAAAGGTATTGAAACGGTTTTACATAGATGGAGCACATCCATTAAGTATTCCGATTGTGATTCTATCACTTGATGTGAATAAGAATCCGTTTCGACCTCAAGAAAAGAATGAAAGCTACTTGGTCCTGATGTACCATATCTTAGTACAATTGGTGCATTAATGTATCTTGCTAATACAACAAGGTCTGACATAACTTTTTCAGTTAATGTCTTAGCAACATATATGATAGGTTACATGTACTTTGGTTATAAGTACTTTACTTTATGTTTTTATTATCTAACAAACTTACTATCCAAAACCA